GTTTGCTTGATTTTTGGAGTGTTAATAAGTATTCTGTAGTTTGATTTTGTTTTTATTAATGTTTGTTAGAATAAATTATGTCTGAATTCATTTCACAAGTTTCAGGCTAAAGATTATTTTAATAAGTAATGTTATTTAATTTTTTATTGATAAAATATTCTGATTCAGCAAGAGTAATATTAATAAAACTAAATTTTTAATTACAGTAAAATACTGTAATTGTTTTTTCAAAATTACAAAAGATTTTTCTGATATTTGTTATTTTAATTATGAAAATATCTATTTTTAAAGCATCCATTAAATCTATTGGATAAAATTTCCAATTGGAATCAAGAAATAAAAAAGAAATTGCTAATTTTATGGTATTTTGAGGAACAATTGAAAGAGAGATACTGCAGATTTCTCAAAGCCCTTGAAACTTTGACACATGATTCTGTTGAAAAAATTCAACAAAAAGCAGTAATAGTAATGGCTGATCTTTTAATAAATAATCCTGAACAAGAAGAGGTTAGTCTGTTTATTTATAAATTTTACCAATTCATTAATTGCATTTTATTTAGATTTTAATATTTTTCAGTATTTGTTGGAAACATTGGTAAATAAATTAGGTCATCCTGTACGTGCAGTTGCAGCAAGAGTTTGTCATCTTCTAGGCCAATTAGTCAGTCAACATCCAAATATAAAAAATGTTGTTGTCAAGGAAGTTGAAAGATTATTATATCGCCATAATATTTCTCAACGGGCACAATATTATGCATTATGTTTTCTTAATCAGGTAAATATATTTTATAACCTTTTATATCTTAAATTTAAAAATACTCTAACATCACTAATATTAAAGAAGTAAGAATTTGTTTATGATCAATATTGGTGACAGTTGTTATTATTAGTCATAAAGCAGTTATAATTATTATATTTTGTTTCACCTAAGAATGCATTACATCAAAGCAACCCTTCTCTCTGTATTTGTATCATTCCACAATGAGCTAACTCTCCGTGACTTGTAAGCTCACTTTGGCCAAAGGCAGTGAGTAACCAATTGCCTGTAGCTAAAGTGTACAGTTTTGTAGTCATTGGCTATGTGCCAATGATTGTACAGTCATTTGTATCACAATGCAATCTACCTGTAATTGTAAATAATTGGTAAATATTAAGCATTGTATTTATTGGTGAAACAGAGTATAGTACAATAGATACTCATTCAGTTTATTATTAAAATTTTGTTATTAACTCTAATCTTGCTTGTCTGTATTATTGATTTTCATCCAGAATAGAAAAATTGTCATAAATGTGAATAAATCAGAAAGTTACTTACAATGTTAAAAATACACAAAAATATTATGTAGCATGTTTTTTTAATCATGTCCAGTATATTGTATTTCTACACAATGTCAGAACATGGAGTGGAATTATATTTTTGCTATGATACAGGTAAGATTTTAGCTAAGTTGACTAAAAGCAAAACTCAAAAAGTCCCACAAATTTCACTTTTTTACTTCAGACTCATCCAAGGCTGCACTGTCATACACCACCTACTTTAAACCCAAAATGGTTTAAAGCACATTTTTGCCAGGAAGCCGTCTCGTTGCTGACAGTTACTTTTTAATAGTTAAAGTTTATAGGTTAAGGTTTAAGGAAAACCTGACATGTTAGGATTTTGTGGAAGTTGAAGATCATGTCTTTAGGAAAAAAACGTCTGGACAACATATTCGTGGTCAATGTGTGAGACTTTAGAAGATATTGGACTTCAAATTTCTTATTATGTTGCTTCTGGTTTGGATGTACAGTATGTGCCAAAATTCAAAATACCTTTCTGAAATTTAAAATACTTTTTCAAATAGGCACTACTTGCAGCAGGCCTAACCAAACATAAGCTATATGTCAAGAATTTTCCATTCAAAAACATGCAGATACTAGGGGAATATGTTAATTGATTTTTTTTTATTTGCTAGTTTTTGTATTTGTGAATTTTCATTATTTTCAAAACTAATAAAAGCAATGAACTATATAGTTAGGTTTAGATGCTACTGAAGACATGAGAGAAGACCAGAAAGCATGTGTTGTAATGCTGAATTTCCAGGTATTTTGAAATTTTGATCCTTTTTTTTCTTTCTGAGGTTTTTTACAATTGAAGATTGTCTAATTTTGGGGACAATATCTTGTGACCTCTCATGAATTGACTCTATGTTGTTTAGGCTTGTTTTTGTTCATAAAGACATGATATACAATTACTACAGGATCTCAACTACATCAAGTCAACCCTTCAATTGAGCTGTTTATGGAGCTATACAATTATTACATTTTGGAAATGTTTTTGGTCATGTGAACCTCATTTGATAACATAGATAATAAACAAATTCCAGATGTTTACAATGTTGAAATGTATATGAAAATGCAACAACTTTACAGAAAATAAAGTATCATCATGTCATGTACTGTACAGCAATTGGTAACTGGATGCATGAAAAAGCTACATAAATTGATCTTGTGATTGTCAATTAATTTTAAATAAACGTATTGAAAAATTGGAACACAAAATTGAAATTAAAAATTGTTTTTCAGAAGACTTTGTTTGGGAACCAAATGGATTGTTACAAGAAAATTATTGTGAATCTGAAATTGTTAATTTTGGAATCTGATAATATTTTTATACCTTACAATGAGTTCTTAGAATTGTTTGTTGATGAAATAACTGTATTTGACTTGAGTTAGATAGACCAAAATTTAATATTTAATTTTCACTCATATTTTGATAGTATCTCAGAAAGCATTTTGAAATCACATAATAAGGCTGAGGACTGTAGCAAGTCATAAGTTTTAAATATTTCTTCACAGTAGTTTTTAATCTAAGGTTCCTGAAGTACAGCAAAACTGTGGTTTTCAGTTGCTCCTCATTCTTGAATCTTTTTTCCACATAAGAAGTTCTTAAACAGATTAAAGATGTGGAAATATGGGTTTAAACTATGTACTGGGTGGCTTGAAAAGAACAAGTAGGAAGCTAGCCACTTGTGCATTTCAAGCCAAATTTTTGTCTGGTTTGGTATGTGAAATCATGCTCTATTATGCAGAAGTCTCATTCCAGTGCTTAACTTTCCTGGCCTCCACAAACATTGCATGCAGATGAAAGAATTTCACAGTATATTGTATTCTTGATTTTGTGGAAGAAGTTCACACAAGAGGAGGTTATCATAATCCCAGAATATTAAAACCGTTTTCTTCTTGGCAGATGACTGAATCTTGAATTTTTTATAAACTTAAGAATCTGGATGTTTTCACTTATTTAAAATTTCTTTTGAATGCATGGTAAAGTGATAAATTCATGATTCACTTCCTGTAATAATGTTTTTAATCAGTAGTGACCAGACTTATCAATTGGTGGGCCAAATTGCACACAGGTCATAGATAGGTTGGCCACAAACATTTTATTCCATGTATGAAAAAGTAGACCTGTTTTCTATAAATAATGTGTCAAATATAATTGCAGGCTGGGTTTGGTCCAAGCTATAGTTTTGGCACCATTGCTTTTAATAAAAGAGCTTCAACATGGTTGGCTGAGGCTTTCAATTGAAGCAACCATTTTTTCATTATTATATTAGTCAGTATTTTTGGAATCCGCCAAACAAAATCTTTACAAAACCCTAACTTATTATTGTATGAACAGTGCTCTTTGGAATACCTATCTGTTCAGCAATTTTATGAACTTTCACTTTTCAGTCTGTCAAAAGCAAACCTTCAACAACAACAAAATTCTCTCTTGTGTTTGAGGTCCTTGATCTGCTTCTTTGTTGTTCCAGATCATTCTTCAGTTCTGTTTGGTCATCACTGAATTTATGGTATTTTACTGGCATTTTTTTCAGCTTAAAACATTATGATTAATTAACTTGCAATGAATCTTGCTTTGATTAGATACCTTTTACCTGCAAAAGTTAGATAACAAATCTTATTTCAAACTTGGAATACTTTTCAATAACATTATCCAATTTGCTTGCTTGTCAAACTAAGGCTAATAAGCAGAGAACAACAATTCTTTGATTGTTACTATTCCTCTCCCTTATTAACCAATAAATATTTTTGATGTCACAGATGTGCATGCATACTGTACTGTTAACATAGCTTTACCATAACTATGTATACTATCAGATGACTCTTGTAATTGTAATTTGCCAATTTAGTTTCAAAAAATGTAAACACTAACAAAATCAGTCCTGATGGATTTTAAAAGCTTTAAAAATGGAATTTTTTAGTGAATACATTATATGCAAATGGTCAAAAATAAAAATGCCAAAATATTTAGGGATTTGGATATTTTCATTTAGATTATAAATGTTTGGAACATTTTTCTCATCAGATAGTAGTAGTTCATTCTTTACTGAGGTCATATATACATGAACACAGTTATGTGCAAAACATTCAGAGATATTATTTCTAAACTGTTTTATTATTGGAAAATTATAAAATTAGAGAGATTGTGGCCAACATTTTCAGCCCAAAACGTGAACGTTGGACGTCGAGCGCCACCATCTGGCAGTTCTAGAAGGTCGACAATGGCGTTCGCTACGTCTAGCATAACGAGAAGAAGTTTGGCTTAAACTTCTTCATTTTTTTTGTATTTGGGGTTAAAATTATGACTTATTTTATTAAAATAATGATTATTTAAGCATTTATGAATAATATTGTACAGAAACAGATGATTTTAATCCAGAAATTATTTAATTATTCAATTTTTTGGCAAGTGATGTGAAGTGCCTATAGAATTTATATATATTTGTGTTCATGATAGCTTATCATAATTCTGTAGGAGTAGGTTTGTTCTTTCACAGCATCTTCTACCAACAACAATGTAATACGTTTGTAAATTTTTTAAAAATAATTTCCCAAGCTGCTTTTGGATTTACATGAGCCACTACATCCCTCAACAAAAGTATAAGGTAGTCCTATCATCCTATCATACAGTAGGAGACATGACGCTAATTAAAAATAATTATTTAATGTTATTAAACATCCTATAAATACTTTAAAATAGTTTAATTTGTTTATTTACCTTCGCTTGTTTGTTGTTAAATGTTTCTGCCATTTTTCAACAATATGCCATGAGTCAGTGCACGACGTGAACATGTGGTGCAATGTGTTTTACTTTTTGTTCAAATGTCAAATGTGTACTTCTGCTTGCCATGCAAGTTTAACGTTTGAACTTCGGCTGCAACCTCTCTATTAATTTAAGCTTTTAAACTTTGTGTAGCATATCAAATGTTTGTATAATTATTACATATATTGAGATAAAATTATAGTACTACTAGCTGTTACCCGCGACTTCGTCAGCGGAGGNCAAGCAATTTTATATATTTAGATTTACTTTTTAACTATCTTTTATAAGTTTTAATTTATCACATTGTTAATTAATCATGTTTGCTTAAAAAATTATTATGTATTTGTTATATTTTATATTTCAGCTTCTTTTATGTCCAGAAGATAGTTTGTTGGCTTCTCGTCTTATTCGAATTTATTTTGGATTTTTTAAAGCCTGTACAAGAACAGGTGAAGTTGAAAATAAAATGATGAGTGCCTTATTGACTGGAGTAAACAGAGCTTTCCCATTTGTTAAAGATGACAAATTAGTGTTAATTGAACAAATGGATACTTTGTATCAAATAGTTCACTTAGTCAGTTTTAATATCAGCATCCAAGCTCTTATGTTGTTGTTTCAGGTATATTTTTTATTATAAAAATAGCAAAATAATTTATTCATAAATAAATAGAAGTAAAAACCTTGTGTTGAAAGTTGCAGTCGTATCTTAATTAATGTTATCCTATATTGATACATAGGCTTGAAACTATGAGGAGCTGAGTTTTGGCTAACTTTTTTAAGATCATAGAGTTAATTCAAAAAGTTATTTTTTATATGATTATTATACTTGGAAACATTTAAAAGTTTTAAGATAAACGTAATTTTATTAGTATGCTTTTATGGCTTAATATTATTATGTTGCTTTAAATTCATATTAATATTGTTTAAAAAAATAAATATCCATTAATTATAAATTATTCATTATAATTAATTTTTAAATTTTTTAGGTTCATGGTTTAGATGAAACTCTATCAGATCGATTTTATGTGGTTTTATATAAAAAACTATTAGACCCAGGATTAAGTCATTCTACAAGACAGACAATGTTTCTGAACTTAATATATCGTGCTTTAAAACGAGATCACATTGAACAGAGAGTTAAAGCATTTGTTAAAAGATTATTTCAGGTATAATGCTTTAAATATTATAATACAGTAGAGCACTCGATTATCCGAATACTGATCAACTGAAACATCAATGTTAACCGAAAGCATTCCAGTCAGCAAATTCAAATTTCCGCTAGGGCTGTGGTGTTGCAAACTCTTCCCCTCCATGCCAAACTGAACTATAGGCTTAGTTTAATGTATTACATTGTGTAAGGTATGTATTTATAAGACATGTGATACAAATTATATAAAGAAAAGTTTTGTGTTTAATATATTTTTTTGTAAATGATCAGTTATCCTAACAACCCTAGTCCTGAATTGTTTCGGATAATCGATGCTCTACTATAGTTTTAAAAATATGCAATTAATAACTTAATTCAAGATATGTTAATATGCTCTTACTGTTTCTATTTTAAAATGGTTCCTTAAAGCTAAAATTATGCTGCTGATTTTTATAATTATAAATTTATATGTTTGTTTAAAAATATTTATATAAATGCTTTTATTAACAAAAAAAATAAACAATTAAAATAGATTATTTATGATACTATGTTATAGATTGATAACTTTTAAAGCATTTTAAAAATTCATTTTCTAATTATAAATTACTTAAAAATCAAAACAATTAATGATTATATTTTCAATTGTTACAGTAATATTTCAGTGAGTATTAAAGTATTACTGTATATGTAATTAGTAAAGGATAGGATTTTAGAGTGCTAAAGAAGTTTAAAAATGGGATGTAAAGTGATAAATAAAAAGCAAAAATGGAGAAAAGAAGTAGTGCTAAAATCATGTTAAGCATCTATCTCAAGTAAAAATTTTTATTTAAATTGCAGGATACAGTATATTTCTCACAGGTCATTAATTTTTATACTATACTTTCATACAATTGTCACTTAAATCACAATCATTTGTCAAAAGGAATAAATTAACTTGAATAATGGTAATCATTTCCAAATTTTCAAATGTAAAGTTTCTGTGTTTACATGAAAAATATCTTTGTATGCAGCAAAAGACATTCAACATCCAAAGATGTTAGCAGCAGATACGGTGTCTTAACTTGAAATTCTAAATCATTGCATTCCACAACCTTCTTTAAGTCTGGATTCTAGCAAGGCTCTTCTCAAGTTTTTGCTTGACAAATTCATCTAACTTACTGAGAAAAACAGTTCCCACTGCTTTTCTTTTTGAAGATGCTTCCTTTCTAATTTGGTGATTGCATCAACAACAAATTTGTATGAATATACAGCAGACAGTCCTTCCTGAACACTAGTGTCCGAAACTAAGTTGTTAATTTGACCAACTGCAGCAGAATCAGAATCTTCTATATGCAGAACAAAGTTTTTGATTTTCTCAAAATATTTGCAATAGAAAATACAAGCCCTTATCCGTGTTCTCCATATTGTGATGACTGATCAGGTGGCAGGGGAAGTTGTTATTTCATTATACAAAGCAACTCTTACTTGAGCTTTCTTTAAAACTTTTTTCGTCTTTTTTTTCAACTTTTTCAGTTCACTTTTTTCTGAAACTGAGGAACATAACCTGATGTAAAATGACAACTGTGTATACAGGGATTATATGTTGAATTTTGAAATGGAATTATTTCTAGAAAAATAAAGCAATACAAATCCACCTAAACAAAATGGAGAAAAGAAAAAAAATGATTATTTAGTTTGACAAAATCATTATAAAAATTATGATAGAATTAATTCTAAATGTTATTTTCTTATTTTATTTTGATATACAGTAGAACCTCTATTATCCGGACTAATTGGGGATGAAGGTAGTCCGGATAAGGAAAAATCCGGATAATCGAAAAAATACTTTAATTTGTCTTTTAATGATAATACAATACGTTTTCTTTTCGATGACATATCGGTAATATTAAAAGTAAATACTGTATTTAAATCGTGATCAGATTTTCAAGAAACAAACGTTCGTATTGAATTTGTACTACTACTGACCAACGCTAACAGACTACCTATTGTTTAAAAGGCCCTCTGGCGGCTCAAGAATAAGGATTTTATAAAATAAAAAGCAGTTGAAACTGCATTTTTATGAATAAAAATTTGACAAACTATCATTTTATGACGAGTAAAATATTTTCGTCGCGTTCGCGGCTTTTAAGTAATGCATAAACCTTCGAAACGCGAGGCCCTTCGGACCGCGAGGCATAGGCGGTGGCCCACGTCGTCCATGCCTTACGCCGCCCTTGGTCATAGAAATGATTTAATTTGAATATAAATTATTTATAAATACGTTTGTCAAGTTATATTTTTATTACGACGTAAAATATATTTAAGAGTTTACGACCACTGTGCTGGGTGAGACGTTGTTGAAACAAAAAAAGTTATGCATTCCATCAC